TTATTACCATATTTATTATTACCATATCATTATTATCATCACTGTCATCATCATTTAATATAATTATAATTATATAATTATAACATTATTATTATCATATTTATTATTATATTATTATCCCTCACAGGTTCATTGAGAAAACCAAAGTGCTCTTCCAGCAGTCACCAGCCAATCCCTTTCCAATGCCAGAAATACAACTTAACGGTGTAACATTAGAAAATGTTGACCAGTTCAGCTACCTTGGCAGCCACCTCTCCACAAAAGTCAACATTGACACTGAAATACAACACCGCCTGAGCTCTGCGAGTGCAGCTTTTTCCGAATGAAGCAGATAGTGTTTGAGGATCGGGACATCCGCATTGATACCAAGGTGCTTTGTTTATAGAGCTATTATCCTCCCAACCCTGCTATACGCCTGCAGAACGTGGCCTATCTACAGACGTCACATGCAACTCCTGGAACAATTCCATCAGTGCTGCCTCCGGAAAATCCTGCAAATCTCTTGGGAAGACAGGCGGACAAATGTTAGCGTGCTGGAAGAAGCAAAGACCACCAGCACTGAAGCGATGGTCCTCCTCCATCAACTCCACTGGACTGGCCATGTTGTCAAAGATGCCCGACCACCGTCTCCCAAAGCAATTGCTCTACTCCGAACTCAAGAACGGAAAACGGAACTTTGGTGGACAGGAAAAGAGATTTAAAGATGGGCTCAAAGCCAACCTTAAAAACTCTGGCATAGACACTGAGAACTGGGAAGCCCTGGCCCTTGAGCGCTCCAGCTGGAGGTCAGCTGTGACCAGCAGTGCTGTAGATTTTGAAGAGGCACGAATGGAGGGCGAAAGAGAGAAATGTGCCAAGAGGAAGGCGTGTCAAGCCAACCCCGACCGGGAGCGCCTTCCACCTGGAAACCGATGCCTGCACTGCGGGAGAAGATGCAGATCAAGAATAGGGCTCCACAGTCACCTACGGACCCACTGTCGGGATACTACACTTAGAGGACCATCATCCTTGGAGTACGAGGGATCGCCTAACTATCATTATTATCATCACTATCATCATCATTTAATATGTATTATCATCATTATTTAATATTATTATTATATCATTATTATCATCATCATCATCATCATATTATCACCACCATCAACATCATCATTTAATATGTATTATTATCATTATATCTTTATTCTTATTATCGAATAGTTAAGGTAAAGGTTTTCCCCTGACATGAAGTCCAGTCATATCTGATTTTGGGGTGTGGTGCTCATCTCCATTTCTACTGGAATGTGGTTTGGACGATGAGACGATATGGAATGGTTTTTGTAGTAATGATGATGTTTTTTGGTTAATGCTGGATTGTGGATTATTTTTATATTGTGTCTCGAATTTTGAACCTTGTTCTTTCTATGTTGTACACTGCTATGAGTCGCCTCCGGGGTGAGAACAGCGGTATATAAGCAAAGTAAATAAATAAATATTTGGGCATATGGAATATTCGTGCCAAGTTTGGTCCAGATCCATCATTGTTTGAGTCCACAGTCATCTCTGGATGTAGCTGAACTACAACTCCAAAACCTAAGGACACTGCCCACCAAACCCTTCCAGTATTTTCTGTTGGTCATGGAAGTCCTGTATGCCATGTTTGGTTGAATTCCATCATTGGTGGAGTTCAGAATGCTCTTTGATTGTAGTGAACTATAAATCCCAGTAAGTACAAATCCCAAATGTCAAGGTCTATTTCCTCCAAACTCCATCTGTGTTCATATTTCGGCATATGGAATATTTGTGTCAAGTTTGGTCCAGATCCATCACTGTTTGAGTCCACAGTGCTCTCTGGATGTAGGTGAACTACAACTCCCAAACTCAAGGTCAATGCCCACCAAACCCTTCCAGTGTGTTCTGTCGGTCACGGAAATCCTGTATGCCATGTTTGGTTCAATTCCATCATTGGTGGAGTCCAGAATGCTCTTTGATTGTAGGTGAACTATAAATCCCAGCAACTACAACTCCCAAATGACAAAATCAATTTTTTTGAGTGGAGGACATAAATTGGACTGTTAGGTGTCTTGTGTCCAAATTTGGTGTCATTTCCCCCAGTGGTTTTTGAGTTCTGATGATAGAAAGAACTAACATTACATTTTTATTTATATAGATGATGATGATGATGATTATTGCCCTCCGACAAACTCACTTTAAAAGGAGCGGCGCGCGCTTGCAAGTCTCGTCCAAAAGGGGAAGCGTGAAGCGATTGGGAAAGAGAGAGGTCTGATTTTACCCGCGCGCAGCGGGAGCCCCGCCCCCGGCGCCTGATTGGCCAGCGCGACTTTTGCGCGTGCGTATTGCAAGGGGCCCGGCTTGTTTGGCCCAGGGTCCTCATTCTGCTCTGTGTTGCTTTGGAGATGGCGGCTCGAGTCGAGGAAGAAGGAGAAGAGGAAAGGAGGAGGAGGGCAGAGCTGGAGGAAGCGGCGCTGGAGGAACTGATGGAAAGGAGCTTCTTCGAGGAGGAAGAGGAAGAGAAGGCTCCTCCTTTGCTCAGGTGGCTGCCTGGAATGAGGAAAGCGCGCGGTTTCAAAGAGCATGGATTTTTTTTAGCCTTGGGTCTCTTGAGGAAGAACTTCTTGACTGAGAGCCGTTCAACAGTGGAACTCTCTGCCCCGGAGTGTGGTGGAGGCTCCTTCTTTGGAAGCTTTTAAACAGAGGCTGGATGGCCATCTGTCAGGGGTGATTTGAATGCAATATTCCTGCTTCTTGGCAGGGGGTTGGACTGGATGGCCCATGAGGTCTCTTCCAACTCTAGGATTCTATGATTCTATGACTCTGGGCCCACACTGCCCTATATCCCAGGATCTGATCCCAGATTATCTGGCAGTGTAGACTCATATAACCCAGTTCAAAGCAGATCATCTGGGACCAGATCCGGGGATACAGGGCTGTGTGGGTACAGCCTCAGCAGATGGTGGCCCCTACCACCTATCCATTCAAGATTTATGAGCTGCCTCTAGTTTTCACTCTGGCAGACATAGCCATGGTCATATTAATAGCTGGGAGGGTCTTTGCACAATTGGAATGTGTCCAGAGGAGGGCGACTAAAATGATCAAGGGTCTGGAGAACAAGCCCTATGAGGAGCGGCTTAAAGAGCTGGGCATGTTTAGCCTGAAGAAAAGAAGGCTGAGAGGAGACATGATAGCCATGTATAAATATGTGAGAGGAAGTCATAGGGAGGAGGGAGCAAGCTTGTTTTCTGCTTCCCTGGAGACTAGAGAAAACAATGGCTTCAAACTACAAGAAAGGAGATTCCATCTGAACATGAGGAAGAACTTCCTGACTGTGAGAGCCGTTCAGCAGTGGAACTCTCTGCCTCGGAGTTTGGTGGAGGCTCCTTCTTTGGAAGCTTTTAAACAGAGGCTGGATGGCCATCTGTCAGGGGTGATTTGAATGCAACATTCTGCTTCTTGGCAGAATGGGGTTGGACTGGATGGCCCATGAGGTCTCTTCCAACTCTGATTCTATGATTCTATGACTCTGGGCCCACACTGCCCTATATCCCAGGATCTGATCCCAGATTATCTGGCAGTGTAGACTCATATAACCCAGTTCAAAGCAGATCATCTGGGACCAGATCCGGGGATACAGGGCTGTGTGGGTACAGCCTCAGCAGATGGTGGCCCCTACCACCTATCCATTCAAGATTTATGAGCTGCCTCTAGTTTTCACTCTGGCAGACATAGCCATGGTCATATTAATAGCTGGGAGGGTCTTTGCACAATTGGAATGTGTCCAGAGGAGGGGGACTAAAATGATCAAGGGTCTGGAGAACAAGCCCTATGAGGAGCGGCTTGAAGAGCTGGGCATGTTTAGCCTGAAGAAGAGAAGGCTGAGAGGAGACATTAATTTATTTATTTATCGTGTCATCAGCAACCATTGTATTACAATTCTAACAGAGCAAAACAAACACACAGATTAAAAAGAAAAAGGAAAAAAACACACAGATTTTGCAAATTTGGTATTTGGTTAAATGTCCTTTGACCAGTATCTGGCCACTTGGAGTGCCTCTGGGGTTGCCGCAAGAAGGTCCTCCATTGTGCATGTGGCAGGGCTCAGGGTGCATTGCAGCAGGTGGTCAGTGGTTTGCTCTTCTCCGCACTCGCATGCCGAGGATTCCACCCTGTAGCCCCATTTCTTAAGATTGGCTCTGCATCTCGTGGTGCCAGAGCGCAGTCTGTTCAGCGCCTTCCAAGTCGCCCAGTCCTCTGTGTGCCCAGGGGGGAGTCTCTCATCTGGTATCACCCATGAATTGAGGTGCTGGGTTTGGGCCTTCCACTTTTGGACTCTCGCTTGCTGGGGTGTTCCAGCGAGTGTCTCTGTAGATCTAAGAAAACTATGTCTTGATTTAAGTCGTTGACGTGCTGGCTGATACCCAAACAGGGGATGAGCTGGAGATGTCTCTGCCTTGGTCCTTTCACTATTGGCTGCTACTTCCCGGCGGATGTCAGGTGGTGCAATACCGGCTAAGCAGTGTAATTTCTCCAGTGGTGTGGGGTGCAGACACCCTGTGATAATGCAGCATGTCTCATTAAGAGCCACATCTACTGTTTTAGTGTGGTGAGATTCACACTGGGCATGCATACTCAGCAGCAGAGTAGCATAGCACAAGGGCAGATGTCTTCACTGTGTCTGGTTGTGATCCCCAGGTTGTGCCAGTCAGCTTTCGTATGATGTTGTTTCTAGCGCCCACTTTTTGTTTGATGTTCAGGCAGTGCTTCTTGTAGGTCAGAGCACGGTCCAAAGTGACTCCCAGGTATTTGGGTGTGTTGCAATGCTCCAGTGGGATTCCTTTCCAGGTAATCCTCAGAGCTCGGGATGCTTGACAGCCAGGTATAAATACGTGAGAGGAAGTCATAGGGAGGAGGGAGCAAGCTTGTTTTTTATTGGGATGTTATTTTGTTACTGTGTTTATACTTTTCTTCTATGTAATTTTTTTTTTGGAGGGGGATGCAACAGCTTTATTGAAATCAAGTGCAGTGCATTTTTATCTGGTTGGTTGCTGGTAAGCGTCGACTTCAAATGCCACCCCTCAGTCGCAAAACCAGGTGCAAGGTGGACTCCTTCTGGATATTGTAGTCAGAAAGAGTGCGGCCATCTTCCAGCTGCTTCCCGGCAAAGATGAGCCTCTGCTGGTCAGGCGGGATGCCTTCTTTCTCCTGGATCTTGGCCTTCACATTCTCAATGGTGTCACTGGGCTCCACCTCCAGCGTGATGGTCTTTCCTGTCAGGGTCTTCACAAAAACCTGCATCTTCTATGCAATTTTGATGATGTTGCTTGTTGTTTATGTTCTAGATCAGGGGTCCTCAAACTTTTTGAACAGAGGGCCAGATCACAATCCCTCAAACTGTTGGAGGGCCGGATTATAATTTGAAAAAAAACATGAATGAATTCTTATACACTGCACATATCTTATTTGTAGTGCAAAACACTTAAAAACAATACAGTAATTAAAAATGAAGAACAATTTTAACAAATGTAAACTTATTAGTATTTCAATGGGAGCCCCCGGTGGCGCAATGGGTTCAACCCCTGTGCCGGCAGGACTGAAGACAGACAGGTCGCAGGTTCGAATCCGAGGAGAGGTGGATGAGCCCCCTCTATCAGCTCCAGCTCTTCATGCGGGGACATGAGAGAAGCCTCCCACATCAAATCGTCCAGGCGTCCCCTGGGCAACGTCCTTGCAGACGGCCAATTCTCTCACACCGGAAGCGACTTGCTCCTGACACGACAAAAAAAAAAAAGTATTTCAATGGGAAGTGCGGGCCTGCTTTTGGCTGATGAGATAGGATTGTTGTTTTTGTGTAATTTCAAGTCATTTCTTAGGTTGACCCTGAGCGAGGGCCGGCTAAATGACCTTGGAGGGCTGTATTCAGCCCCCGGGCCTTAGTTTGAGGACCCCTGTTCTAGAATCATAGAATCAAAGAGTTGGAAGAGACCTCATGGGCCATCCAGTCCAACCCCCTGCCAAGAAGCAGGAATATTGCATTCAAATCACCCCTGACAGATGGCCATCCAGTCTGTTTAAAAGCTTCCAAAGAAGGAGCCTCCACCACACTCCAGGACAGAGAGTTCCACTGCTGAACGGCTCTCACAGTCAGGAAGTTCTTCCTCATGTTCAGATGGAATCTCCTTTCTTGTAGTTTGAAGCCATTGTTCCTGCGTCCTAGTCTCCAGGGAAGCAGAAAACAAGCTTGCTCCCTCCTCCATGCGGCTTCCTCTCACATATTTATACATGGCTATCATATCTCCTCTCAGCCTTCTCTTCTTCAGGCTAAACATGCCCAGCTCCTTAAGCTGCTCCTCATAAGGCTTGTTCTCCAGACCCTTGATCATTTGAGTCGCCCTCCTCTGGACACATTCCAGCTTGTCAATATCTTTCTTCAATTGTGGTGCCCAGAATTGGACACAATTTAGTTTTATTTTGCTGTAATATATTGTCCGGGCTTGGCCCCATGTAAGCCGCTCCTAGTCCCCATTGGGGAGATGATGGCGGGGTATAAATAAAGATGATGATGATGATGATGATGATTATTATTATTATTATTTGTTTTCTGCTGCCCTGGAGAGTAGGACGCAATGGAACAATGGCTTCAAACTACAGGAAAAGAGATTCCATCTGAACATTGGGAAGAAGTTCCTGACTGTGAGAGCTGTTCAGCAGTGGAACTCTCTGCCCCAGAGTGTGATGGAAGCTCCTTCTTTGGAAGCTTTTAAACGGGCTGGATGTCCATCTGTCAGGGGTGCTTTGCATGCCGTTTTCCTGTTTCTTGGCAGAATGGGGTTATTTATTTACATTTATTTATTTACAGCATTTATATACCGCTTTTCTCACCCCTGGGGGGACTCACCCCTAGGTTGGACTGTATGGCCCATGAGGTCTCTTTCAACTCTATGATTCTATGAAAACTTGTGTGCCAGCTGTGACCATACCTCGTGAAGTCTGACTTTGCCAGGGTGGTCCACGTCTTGGTTACATCCATATTGGACTATAACAACTACTTCTGGATTATAACAACTACTTTCGAAGTTAGGATCACACAATTAAACAGGAATAACACTTTCAAACCAGAACAGATTTTTTTTCAAACTTTGTTACATAGTGTAATTATTGTTAATTCTAGTGTAACTATTATTTTAGATTTCCAGAGAGAATGGTTGGCTTCCCTGATACTGTGCTCAACAAGGGTTTGAACAACAGATACTGCATACTGCAAGTCCAGGAAAAGGGTGATGCGGAGAAGCACCTGACCATTACAGCCTCTTCTCTGCTTGATGGCTTGAATACAGAGCTGTGTATCCTTAGGAATGACTGGTAACAACTGCATAAATGTAGTTTGCATCTTGATTGTTGGGGATTCTGTGCTTTAAGTATTTGTAGTTGTGCTGGAAAAACTTGGGTTTGTGTCAAAATGTTTCCTTCCAAGAATTTGAAGTAAGGGCAATTGAGGCTTTTGACGAAAATGTAGTCTGTAAATATGGAGTTTGTTTCCAAATGATTGCAAATCCATATGAACGACATTTACAGGAATCAGATCAGCATTCTTTTGCTCTAAAATGCAGTTTGCCAAGCCCGGCACTAAAGTAATTTGATACAGTTTGATAGTTTTGATCTGTGCATAATATTCCACTCCTAGCTCCGGCCCAACTTACTTATCCGAACGTATCTCTCTCTATGTTCCACCTCATGATTTAGGATCTACTGGGGAGGCCCTGCTCTCGGTCCCACCAGCGTCTCAAACACGTCTGGTGGGGACGAGGGACAGGGCCTTCTCAGTAGTGACCCCCCGCTTGTGGAATTTGCTCCCCAGCGAGATTAGATCGGCGTCCTCCCTCCTCTATTTTAGGAAAAAACTAAAGTCGTGGTTTTGGAGTCAAGCCTTTGACTAGTGAGCACAGCAGCACTTTAGACACTGAGTCCGGACAATAGGATTGTTATGACAATTGGAAACAGCTATATGACTTGTGATTATGTAATTTGTTCTATGTGATTACGTAATTTTAATTAATATTACTGTTTTAATTTGCTATGTACTAGGATTTTATATTGTTGTTATTGATATTGTCGGCATTGAATTGTTGCCTGTGTTAACCGCCCTGAGTCCCCCCTCGGGGGTGAGAAGGGCGGGGTAGAAATTGTGTAAATAAATAAATAACAATGTGCTGCCATCTACAACTCATTTTCTATTTCTTTTTAATTTGGTATCTTTTGGGTTATGTCTCCTCTTCTGTTAATAATAATAATAACACTATTTATATTCCACCCTTCTCACCCCGAAGGGGACTCAGGGCGGATCACAGTACACATACACAGCAAACATTCAATGCCGCTTTGTATACACAATACACAGACAGACAGAACAGAAGGAGGTGCCATGGAAGGTTGGGCTCGGGTCCAGGGGGTGCTGTTGCTTTATCCTCTATGACAAAGAGCCATCAGGACTTCCTCCTTCCTTTTGGTCACCCAGCATTTTCTGATTTTCTTTCTTTATAGTGTCGTAAAACACCTCCTTTCAATTTTAATCTATTACATTTGGCCTGGCCATTATAAAAATTGTTTATGTCACGATTGATTGTTTTTTTGTTTACGTGATTTATATGATTTGTATTTTATTGATTGTTTATTGATGTTGTGTTTATTGATGTTTTGTTTGATGTACTTTGGGCTTGGCCTCATGTAAGCCGCACCGAATCCTTTGGGGAGATGGTAGCGGGGTACAAATAAAGTTTATTATTTATTATTATTATTTGCAGACAGCCAATTCTCTCACACTAGAAGCGACTTGCAGTTTCTCAAGTCGCTCCTGACACAAAACAACAACAAACAAACAAACAAAAAACAACCCAACTTTTTACTTTGATTTTAGAAAAGCTTGTAATTTAACGTATGTGTGTTTTTAGGATTTCTGTTCCAGTACAGCCTGGGGACATCATTCATCTAGAAGGCGAGTGCAGTTCTGGTGTCTGGGTAATAGATGCAGAGTCTGGATACTTAATCTTATATCCAGATATACTACTCTCTGGCACTACGGTATCAAATAGCATTCGATGTATGAGGAGAGCTATACTGAGTGAAAAATTCAGGGTAAGTGGGAGAAAACACTAAGCTTGACTTGATTTATAATTTCTCTGAACATTTGATCCAAATATTATCCTAGCTTGGACAAGAGTGCGTTAGCTCATTGAGCAGGGCTTCTCTTAACATGCTTTGGATATCACATCGTCTTATGGTTATTATTACTATTATTATTTCATACATTTGTATCTATACGATTGTGATGAAGCATTGATTTTTAACTGTAAGTTAAGCGTAGTTATGCTTAGATGATTGAATATTATTATATGTATGTGTTCAGGAGGTAAAAGACAGTTATGGATGTACATAAAGGGTTAACCATTTAGAAATGGCAGAACTAGAGGGATGGGACCAAGCTCAGCACTCTGAGTTAGGTTGCCATGGAGAACGGGGTGGAGCCAACTGCACTTACCAGAAGCAGACATTTTGAGGCTTCAGTCCTTTGGTCATCGAGCCAAAGGGAAGGTGGTTCAAACGTGTGGTGAACCAAACTAAGGGAAGGCTTTTAGCCTGAGTGATTTGAATAAGTCAAGGGGACTTATTTAGGTTTGTGGTTTAGCTGTGTGCTAATAGGAGAAGAAATCCCACTGGGAATCTTTACTTCAGCAGGAAGCTGAAGGGAGACAAGGGCATTAGCTGACCTTAGTTAATCTGGCAAATAAGGAAACATATTGGCCATGGTAGTCCACGCTCTGGTTGCATCCCGTTTAGACTACTGCAACGCTCTCTACGTGGGGTTGCCCTTGAAGACAGCCCGGAAGCTTCAACTGGTCCAACGGGCGGCAGCCATGATACTAACAGGAGCGGAACGCAGGGAGCACACAACCCCCTTGTTGTACCAGCTCCACTGGCTGCCGATTTGCTACCGGGCTCAATTCAAGGTGCTGGCGTTGGCCTATAAAGCCCTAAACGGTTCCGGCCCAAGATACCTATCTGACCGCATCTCGGCCTACGAGCCCACCAGGACTTTGAGATCTTCCGGGGAGGCCCTGCTCTCGATCCCGCCTGCCTCACAGGCACGGCTGGCGGGGACGAGAGATAGGGCCTTCTCGGTGGTGGCTCCTCGGCTGTGGAACACCCTTCCCGTGGACATCAGACTGGCACCTTCCCTGATGATCTTCCGCAGAAAATTAAAAACTTGGCTGTTCAAGAAGGCGTTCGAACAAGAAGTGCAA